CCCATAGTCCCAGCTTTGGGAGCACACCTGTATCACCACCTCCTAAAATGAGATATAACTGTTTAACTAAACTGAGCTGTTTTCAGAACTAAAAACTGGTTCAAAGAAATGGAAGACTCTACTAACCCATTCTCTTCACAGTTACCAGCTCAGCTTTTAATACGTGAAACTTCCAGGGATGTTTCAGAAGAGGAAACTATTGGGCCCCTAGGTAGGCAACCACAAAATGTGCCTCAATGGCATATTGATTATTTTGAATTAAATTTACTTAAGAAACAGCCAATGCAAGGGGGACACTCTCACCCTCCTTTCTGTCTCCCTGAAAGCAGGAAATATATCTCCCATGTGAAAAGTGCACCCCCTGCATCTGGAAGTAGAAGGACACCCTTATCACCAGAGATAGGAAATTCAGGCCAAGAATCCTATATAAACAAATATTATATCTTTAAGTTACTATACCAAGCCCAAACTCTGTTAAATTAAAAGTAATTAAATTAAATAATCAGGTGTAATTCTGGTTATTGTAACCAAGTTTCTTTATTGATTACTCTGTAACCAGATATTTAACCATGCCTTTTAAGTCTTATTTATAGACAGTTATTATTGTGCTCTGATGCTGTTGCAAAAGTGCTTCATCTTCAAGACGATTCATAAGAAGCCTATGGAAGCAGTTAACAGTTCCACATCAAGAGGATGGCTGTGCGAGGATTCCAGCCCACACTGACTTAAAACAAGGAGCGTCCTGCGACTAGAGCCCCTAAATAAGGCATCCAGAGATTTTTATGCCCTGACAGGCAGGGTCAATGCCCCTACTCAACACTGAAGCAGCTACAGGAGACAGACCATCTATCACCCCTCTGCTTCCCATACAATCATAGGAGTAAAATCTCTGAAGGGGGAATGAGGGTGGGGGGGGGAAGGGGCAGGGCACAAAAGAATGACACAGCTGTTGAGGATATGACAAAAACTGGTTAGAGCCAATTAGGCCCAACATGGAGGAAGATTCGACTTCCAGTAGACCTTGAGCCTCATTTTATGCTCATTGTAATATAAATATGGGCATCTAAATGACGCACCCAGAGGTGCCATGACAGTTCTGAGGCCAACCATAAAAGGCCAAAAAGTGGGTGGTGGCCCAATTCCTGGAAATCCCTCCCCCTTCCCCAAAATATTTGGAATAATCCTCCCAATTATGAGCCTATGAAATTACCCACCCTATAAAAACTAACCACTGCCACGCCTTTGAGAGGGCCCACACTCTGTCTTGGAGTGTGTATCTCTCAGGGCTGCTTTCCACTTTTGAGACAGACACATAAGGAACGTGTATCTCTCTGAATAAACCTGCTTTCCCACTTAGAGCCCCCTTGCCTGTCCGCTTGTATCCTTCACAAGCATCCTATATTAATCTACTTCTTGCCTGTCTTCTTTGCCTCTTGCAGAATTCCTTCTGTGCTGAGACATAAAGAACCTGAGCTTCATTAAGTCCTGAGACCAGGTATGTGATTTCAGCTGGGAGGTTGTGGGTTTGAGTCCCCTCCTAAGCCAGAGATTGTGGATTCAAGTCCCATCTGAAGTGCAAATGGGTTCGAGTCCGAATCTGAGATGTGCAGTTTCAATTATATCCCTGAGGGATCAACTAACCTCGATTGTAATCAAAACGCGACCTGCCTGAGACCATACCCCTGAAGTCTATCTGGGCTCACATGTGACCCAAGCTTGTAACAGACTCTTCTTTTTCCTCCTTGCAATGTGAATTTCCTGGGGGCAAATCTACCCCAGCTCTGAGGAACTCAATGGATTTGGAGCAGGTTATTAGCCATTCCGGCGATGAAAGGGACATGAGAGCAAAATTGATCAACAGTGCTTTCTAAAGGAAAGATTTCAATGATGACATATTTAAGATCAATTAAAAATTAAGATGGAGTAACTGGGGTTCAGACATCCAAAATGGAGCCTGGTGGCCATTGTGGATATGGTTTCAGACATGTTCCTGCATCCCTGAGAACTTGAATTTTCTGAGCTGTATCAAACTCAAGGATACCACCATTCATTTTCAAAACAGTATCTGCAAAAGGCTGCCAGCTGCAACCTTATGGTCTCAAGGTCTCCCTCTGTGACTGTGCAACTATTTTGGACATGAACTAACCTGCTTAACAAGCATCCTTACTTCTTGCCAGCTCCAATACTATTTCTTGACAAACAATTTCTGTAACTTTGTGGTTTTTGTCTATATAAGCCTCCCCCATTTTGCAGTCAGGCAGAACACAGTTCAAGTGCTTCTTGAATCTGTGCTCCCTGGCTATAGTCCTCAGCTTGGCTTGAATAAAACTCTCTTCTATTCCTTAATATAGATTGTTTATTGATTATTTGTGTTGATAATAGCATGAGGTAGCACGATTTGGATATCCCATTGACCCAGCACCATGTATTGTAAAGACCTGAACTACAATGGCGATTTTGTCATACTCAACTGACTGTGTAAGTGCAGCTATCTGTTCATGAGAGGAATTGGTCAATAAATTCTTTTTAATAATGTCCTTATTGATGTTCGTTTTAAGGTAATGTTCTCTTAAAAAGCATTGCAAACTACTACGTGTTTTTCTAGTTTCTGGAAATGTTTGTATAAGGTTGGTGTTATTTCTTTCTTAAGGGTTTGGGGAAATTCATCAGGAAAACACTTTGGGCTTGGAGTGTTCTTTGTGGGTCATTTCTAATTTGTCATTCAATTTCTTTAATAGATGTAGAACTTTTCATATTTAAAATTTTCCTTGTATCATTTTTGTTAAATTGTGTTTCTCAAGGAATTTATCAATTTCATCTAAAATTTCAAATTTATTGGCATAAAATTATTCATAACATCCTCTTACTGTCCATTGGTACTGACCAGTACCAATGTCCCCCTTTTCATTCCTCATATTGGTTATTTGCTGCTTCTTTTGTACTTATTTTTTTCTTGATCAGTTTGGCTAAAGGTTTGTCAATACTATTATCCTTGCAAAATGCCTCAAATTTGGCTTCATTTCTTTATTGTATTTTCCCTCATTTCGTTGATGTCTACTCTTTATTATTTCTATCTTTTTGTTTCTTTGAATTTAATTGGTTTGCTTTTTGGCTTCTTGAGATTGATACTTAGATAATTAATTTTCAATCTTTTATCATTTCTAATATTTGCATTTAATGCTATATGTTTTCTTTTAAGAATGGGTCTACCTGCATCTTTCACATGTTGATGTGGTATTTTTTTATCACCATTCAGTTCAAAAATATTTTCTTATATCCATTTGTTGTTTAATTTAATCCCTAGTTTAATTCTAGTTTAATCTGATTATTTAGAAGTGCATTGCTTAAATTCTGAACATCAAATATTTGGGGACTTTTTTAGTTTTCTTTTTTTCTTATTGATTCCTTGTTTAATCCTAATGTGGTCAGAGAACATACTTTTTATGATTTCGGTCTTTGAAAGTGATGAAACTTACTTTCAGTTACAGTATAAAGTCAATTTTATAAATTACATATATGAACTTGAAAAAATTCATATTCTGAAGGTTTGGGGAGCAGTGATTCTTATATCACATTTGTAAATCATGTTTTCCAAGTCTTGTGTATGTCTATTGATTTCTTTCTTTTTTTTTACTGCTTATTACATCAGTTAATGTGTTTAAAATCTTCCTTTGTGATTGTGGATTTGCCTATTTCTCCTTCAAGTTTGTTAAGTTTTTAATTTATATATTTTGAGGCTGGTTTGGTCCTATAACATTTAGGGTTGTTATAGCATTGTGTTGTCTTGACACATTTATCATTATGAAATGTCCTTATTGATGTCTCCTAAGGTTACTAAGAATAGTACTTTCTATGACTTCAACTCTTTGAGAGAGGCAACAACCACTTAGAACATACATTCTCTGCCTTTGGTTTAGAGATGAATTCAAATACATTAAGCTGCAAATAATTTTATACTTAAGCCTGGGTATATGGTAGAGGAGTCATTATTGATATTTGTTCAAATGTATGTGTAAGCTTCCCTCAGGGGATTTTACAAATTTATTGGTAAGCTTTTTATTTGTAACAGTGATTTGGGAGGTGAGAGCATTAGTGTCTTTAGTGCATTAGGGCCAGGGATGTTATGTATTCTTTGAGGCATGGGACAGTCCTTTACAAGGACCAATAGTTACTGTTTTGCACAACTTTCAATAGTTCATTTGGTTATTCATTTGGGTGATATAACTGTTAATGATTTTATGCTCTATGCTGACTCTTTTACATATGAACCCTAAACTATATTTTGTATTCTTTAGATAGACACTGAATTCTCCATAAATAGTACACAGAGGGACTACTGTGTTTTGTTTGTTTGGAGTTTTATGGAGAGTCAGTCACAATTTTGGGAAAGCACATCAGCTACCCTATTCTGCCCATGGAATTTTTGTTTTTTATACAACTCGCCTATATTTTGTCAGCAGTGCAACACATAGCCTGTATGTGTGTTGAAGAGGATTCTATAGATAGATGCAAGCATCTGATCACTTCATTGATCTTCTACATTTCATAATGAAACAATATTTTGTTATAAATTTCCTTCTCTATTTTTTCTTTAAAGTTGGAGCTTTGTTGTGTATATTCATTTAAAAATTATTTGTTTAGGTACATGATATTATGTACAACTTTAGCTCAAGATAATTAATATTTCATTTAGGGATTTTTGTTGTAAAAAGGGAAAGCCGGAATCTGATTGGTTGAGAACTTGGTAGAATCACGATGTTTGCTAAGACAACTCAAAGAAGTCTTTTTATTTCTACTATTTATTGTTATTATTATTTTTAAAAGTTAGCATTGTTACATAAGTTGGTTTTAGGCAGGAGAGCCAATTGCCTCCGGGCCGAGAACGTTTTGTCCCCCAGTGCCAGAGGCACTCCTAGGCAGTCCAGGTTGAGAGCCGGCCGGAACCTTGGCGCCGCGACGCCAGTTTCCGGCGGGCTCCTTAGAGCGCGGAACAGCTTTGGGCCGAAGGACCATGAGAGGGCCGGAACCGGGTCCCGAAGCTACGATGGAGGGGGACGTGCTTGACACTCTAGAGGCGCTGGGGTGAGTAGTCCTGGGGCCGCCTTTCCCCCGAAAACGTAAGCTGTCCCTCCGATGGCTGCCTCAGTCTCCTCCCCGTGGGCCTTCGCTGAGCTCTTGCCGCTCGGTGCAGGCCTCCGCCCCTGCCTCGCTGCCTCCGGCGCGGACAGAGTTAAGAGAGAGGCGGGAGAGAAATCCGCTTGTGGGGGTGGAGCAGGCCCGGAGAGCTGAGGCGCTTGTCCCCCTCTTCCGAACTCCTTGCCTCGGAACTCCGCAGCCGGGACCCGCGGCGAAGGCGCGGAGGGGCCCGGCTGGCAACACTCCTTTGGGGAATTAGTTGCTGCCCTGCGGGTGGTATTATTGTTGACGCTCCGGGGGAGAGGCGCTGGAAGCCGGAGTGCAGCTGTTGACTGTTGTCTCCTACCTTGTACAACCTGTGGATTAATTAGGGCGCGGGAGCGAATCTCCTGCTTCCTTGACCTGAGAAAGGGGTTTTAGTTCAGTGCAAGTCCATTCATTTCACTGTTTCTTCCATTCATTAACAACATATTAATTTGATGTTAATCTGTATTCATTAATGCGTATTTGTGTGCTAGGCCGAGGAGGAAGACAGTTTTCAGATTACTAGTAGGTTACCTAGTCGGGGACTATAAAGAGTCTACTGGTGTTTGCAATTCAGGGTGATTAAGTGCTATGAGAGCTCCTGGAATGATGTTAATACTTGCAGGCACGGGTATCAATACATGCAAAATAGTCTCTCCTTCAGCCTCATCCAGTTTTTCTTCACAGCCCTGGGGTCCCAATCCCAAATTATCTTGTCCTGAACATTTATTTATTTTCTCTTGAACATCCACCCTCCCCACCCTCCACCCCCTAAGTCAGCTCCAGGAGAACAGGTACCTTACCTGTCTTGTTCCCCAAAACACCCTACAACCAGATATGCTACAATAAATAGTGGTTGGATGAATGGGTAAGTAAATGAAGAAAAGTTCAAAGCAGAGAGTGCACAGAGGTAAGCATAGGGCCAGATAGTTGCAAGTCAAAAAAATACACATTAATTAAAGACATTGGAGCCATCTGTAAAATTCTGTGCCCTGCCACGTCTGGAGTTTCTTGGATAGGATAGGCAGTGCCTTTGCAGTACTATCATGAAGCTTGAACCACCCTCTCGCCCCCCTTTATTTTTCTTAAAACTGCACTTGCTCCTCTATCAATTGCTTCTTTGGGACCCTGATAGTACCTACTTTTCAGTGACTCATTGTTACAGAGCCTTGCACTTACTAGATCCTGAATAAATATTTGTCAAGTGAAAGAACAGAGCCAGTGATTATTTAGGGGGCATTTTTACTTCTGTGAAATCCCATGGAAATTTTCTTGTAACTTGGTTAAGGAAGTAACCAATACAAAAAGTTAAAATAATTAAAGTGTTTCGGACCCAAACGGTTTGAGCTCCCAAGTATTCCAGATAAGACTAGTGGGATTCTATAAATAGTTTTTGAAAAATGGAAAGTCAGTGCTTTTTTTTTCTTTCATTCTTTGAGTTTGTTTATATTATAGGTGTTTTGAAAAATGAAGTTTGGTATAATCTTGGCTTTTATCGAGGAAAATTATTTCAGATTATTCACTGTAGAAAGTAAAACAGTTTAGAACTGATTTAAAACATACTTTAGAACTGATTTTTCCTGGAATAATTAAGGACAAGATTTTGAAGTCTGAATTTTCCTATAATGATAATGAAAAGTGAAAAAAGTAATTATTTACAATATGTGTTGTAATTGAACATGCGTTTCAAAATCTCCATGTAGATTGTGAATAATGCGTTTTCTGTTGTGATTAAAACATTTAGGATATCAGTGAAGGTACTTCAGTTTATCAGATAAAATAGGAAATTAAAGGGAGGAATTAAAAGGGAAAATCTATGTGAAAGAACAGTTTAGTGATGTAGTACATTATAAACGAAAACAGCATAGTAATAACTTAGTTTCCTAATCTGTGAAAGGAGCAGGCTGGATCAGATTTCAGAAGTCTCTTTCAGTTCTGACAATCTACGATTTTGTAGAACAGTGTATCTCAACCCTGGTAATACATCAAAATCATGTTTGGAGCTTGTAAAAAAATGTTTCAGTGTGGTGTATACCACCAGCTGAGTGAAGCATGATCTTCAGGGGTGCGATATAGGCATGCATATTTTTAAAAAGCTTCACAGCCTAGGTTGAGAACCACCATTGTGGAGGGAAATTTATTTCACATATTTACTGAGCACAGCTCTGTATTGGACGCTGTTCTGAGAAGTCATTGGTGAGCAAAACAGACTTGGTTCCTGTCCCAATGGAGCTTACAGTCTGGTGGAGAAAAAGACATGATCACACAAATATTTATAAACTAAAGTGTTTCAAAGGAAAAGAACAGGGTGACATAATGTGGCAGGAGGACCTATGTAGTCTTAGGGGTTAGTGACAGATTACTGAGGAAGTGACATTTGAGTTGAAATAGGAAGGGTAAGTAGGAGTTAACTAGGTGAAGTTGGCTGGGAAAGGAGGACAAAGGTGTCCTTACAGTGAGGACAAAATATGAAAGACCTTAAAGTGGAAAGGACCTGCCATATTAGGAGAACTGGAAGGGGGCTGATGTAGCCGGAGGGCAGAGAGCAAGGACCAGTGTTAGAAGATTGGATCAGTGAGGAACAGGGCATGCAGCACCTTTCAGGCCATGTTGAGGATTTTGTTCTTTGTCATGACAGCAATACGACATGATTGAAGAATTTTAAATAAAAAAGGGAGTGATTAGATCAGGGGTCCCCAACCCCCCCGGGGCTGTGGGCCAGTAGTGGTCTGAGGCCTGTTAGGAACCAGGCTGCGCAGCAGGAGGTGAGCGTGGAGTGAGCGAAGCTTCATCTGCTGCTCCCCATGGCTCACATTACCGCCTGAACCAGCTCCCCTACTCCCCTCCCTCCGCCCCCTCTGTGGAAAAATTGTCTTCCACAAAACTGGTCCTTGGTGCCAAAAAGGTTGGGGACCGCTGGATTAGATGTCTAGTTTGAAAAGTTACCTCTGTCAGCAAGGTGGAAAATAGATTGGAGAATTAGTTAGTAGTCTAGGCAAGAAGTGATGGTTGCTCAGTGGCAGTGGATATAGAAAGAAGTATATTACTGGTCTCAGTGATTTGATTGGCTATTAGAGCTGAAGGAGATGACAGTATAAAGGATTCATTTCTTCAACAGGTATTTATTGAGCAACAAAATAAAATGATACACTTTGGAATCTCAATTGGACAGGGAAGAAAGTGAAGACAGCCGGAAGCTAGGAAATGCAGAGAATGTGGAGGGACCATAGGAACTGAGGTAGAGATGATATTAAGTGTGGTCAAAAGAGCAAGCTGGAAGGATAGGTAGTAGGCTATGGTCAGGGAGTGGCATGTTCAAATTAGTGATTTCGGAGGTGACGTAATTCCAGGTGATGGCATGATCTGGGTGTGGCTTACTTATGTGCAGTGGCAAAGGTTGGAAAAGAGGAGGTTAGGGAATTGAGAGCTCAGGGTATTGGAAAGAGTATACATATGGACTTCGAAGAAACTCAATATAATTGAAAAAAATAGGAATGGAGAGGAAAAACTGAGCACAGGGAATGTTGATGAGTGTCCAAGAGATTGATAGGTGAAAAACACGAGAGAAAGAGGGTGGCATATCTGACTGGCCTGAGCCTGGAGAGAGCGGGAGATATTTATAAGATAATGAGGGAGTCGATCAAAAAATGGGCAGAAGATCTAAATAGACATTTCTCCAAAGAAGACATACAGATGGCCAAAAAGCACATGAAAAGGTGCTCAACATCTCTAATTATTAGAGAAATGCAAATCAAAACTACCATCACCTCACACTGGTCAGAATGACCATCTTCAAAAAGTCTACAAACAATAAATGCTCTAGAGGGTGTGGAGAAAAGGGAACCCTCCTACACTGTTGGTGGGAATGTAAATTGGTGCAGCCACTATGGAGAACAGTATGGAGGTTCCTTAAAAAACTAAAAGTAGAACTACCATATGAGCCTGCAGTCCCACTCCTGGGCATACATCTGGAGAAAACCATAATTTGAAAAAATACATGCACTCCAATGTTCATTGCAGCACTATTTATAATAGCCAAGACATGGAAGCAACCTAAATGTCCATCGACGGAGGAATGGATAAAGAAGATGTGGTGTATTTATACAATGGAATATTAGTCATAAAAAAGAATGAAATAATGCCATTTGCAGCAACATGGATGGACTTAGAGATTATCATACTAAATGAAGTAAGCCAGAGAAAGACATATATCATATAATATCACTTATATGTGGAATCTAAAAAAAGAATGATACAAAAATGAACTTATGTACAAAACAGAAATAGACCCACAGGACATAGAAAACAAACTTACGGTTACCAAAGGGGAAAGGGTGTGGGTGGGGAGGGTAAATTAGAAGTTTGGGATTAACATATACATGCTACTGTATATAAAATAGGTAAACAAGGACCTACTGTATAGCTCAGGGAACTATACTCAGTATTTTTTAATAACCTATAAGGGAAAAGAGTCTGAAAAAAAATAGGTATATGTGTACGTATAACTGAATCACTTTGCTGTGCATCTGAAACTAACACAACATTGTAAATCAACTATATTTCAATTTTAAAAAAAAGATAATGGGAGAGCAGTGATATGGATGCTGTATTCGGAAGCAAGGAGGACAAAAACCCCACCATTTGACTGTCAGGCACTTAAGAGTAAAATACCCAAAGCTAGAGGCAGTAGGGATAAATCTTTCTGAGAAGACATTGACAGAATAGAAGAGTTGTTTTTTATGGATGGAACATATGGAAGAGTTTGAGAAGCAGGAAGAAGTGGAGAGCTGGATCAGAGGCAAGCCAGTAGGGTGGGTAAATGACAGGGGGAAAGAAAGGGTCTAATATTTTATATGTTGGCCGATGAAAATAGAAAACAGAAAGTAAGTTAGACCCCAGCTGTGTCTTTGTGAAGGTTTACCAATGGCCCTACTGGACTGAAGGTTTGGTTCACCCAGCTTAGAGCAGTGTCAGATCAGCAACTATGGTTCAAGTGTGCATGGCCCTGGGGGAGTCTAGGCCTAGGGGAGGTGTCCCCAGTTACTACTAAGTTATTACTCTTTGGAGTTACTCTTTGGAGTAAGAGTAGCACTTTCCTAATTAAATAAGAATTTATAGAACAAACTAAGCATGATAATAATACCTATCTTATAGGATATTGTGACAATTAAATAAGGTAATATACATACAGCACATAGCACTGGCTTAAGATTAGTTTATAAATGTTAGTTGCTATATGATTATGATTGTTATTAGATATTCAGGTTTGTTAAATGCATTTCTTTTTTCTTTTTACCTATTTTGAGGAACTGAGGCATTAAAGCTTGTGTATTCAGGATTTAGTATCTTTGGTGATTTAGTAAATTTTTGCTGAATTTAAAAATTGGCATTTCAGTAAAAATAACTTGCCAATAATATGAATTAGTTACATTTTTTCTGGAGCTTATGATTATTGCTTTATTGCAGAAGTGAAAGCAAATGGGGGAAATAAGATATTTACTGTTAAGTCTCAATGAGAGGTGCTGTAAGATATGGTAGAAAGGTAATACAGGGGAACCAGTCTTGGTTGGAGGAGCAGAGACTGTTCTAGTCCCAGCTGTCTTTACCTGGCTGCATCACCTGGCCAGGTTATTTACTTTGTTTCCTTATTCGTGTAGACAGAAGTTTGAGTTCACATGGAGCATTTGGGGTCAAATCTGGATTTAAATCAGAGTGTCGTCATTTATCTTCTCATATTATCTTCTGGTCCTACAGAATTAGGATAATAATAACTTCAAATCATTGCTGTAAAGAGTAGATGAATTGGAATATTCATCTGGCCTGCTACTTAAGGCAGGTATCCTAACCTTGTTGAGCCTTAATTTCTTATCTGCAAAATGGGGCTTTGAAACTACTCACCCTTCGTGAAATATGACCAGAGAATTTAGAGAAAAAGAAACGCAAATGGCCTTTAAACATATCAAAAGATGTACAGTCGTGCCATAAGAGAAATGTAAATTAAAACTATACTGAGATACCAGATGGTCAAAAATCCAAATGTTTGACATGAGTCAAATGTTTGGTAAGTTATGGGTAATGGATACTCTTCTACTTTAGTGGTACAACCCCTGTATAGGCAAATTTAACATTATCCAGCAAAGTTGGATAGCCATTTACCCTTTGATCCAGTGATCCTACCTCTAGAAATCTATCCCAGATATACATTGACAAAAATTTGCCCAATTTTTTTAATAGCAAAGCATTACAAAAAACCAAAATGTCCTTCAGTGGGGGCATAGCAAATAAAATATGGTATATCCAGACAGTGGATACAACTATAAAAATGTTAGAATAGTATCTCTACAGATCTCTAGTATATATAAATATGTGTCTGTGCGTGTGTATGTTTAAAAAAAGGAATAGAACAGTAGATAGTAGGCTGCCTTTTATCTAAAAAAGATACATTTATATATATATATATTTTGTGTATATATATGTTTATATTTTAAAACATTGTGGTTTGACAACCCCAAACTAATAAATACGGTTTCCTATGAGGAAGGGAGGAAACAAAGTACTAGATGGAACAGTATTAAGATTGCAAGCTAGAATTGTCTGAATGTACCTTGTTTTGTTTTAGACTTTGAAACCGTATAAATGTTTTACATAATTGTAAAGCAAAATTAAAATGAAATCAAAACAAAGAGACAAATCCCTAAAAATTAAAAGCAAAATGAAAAAAATATCTATCAGTGTATTGAGTAGGAGGTTTAATCACATGGAAAGGAGTTGTTTTTCTATACATCCTACTGGAATCTATCCTAATGATAAAAATATAAATTGTTTTCATTAATTTTATTTTTAGTAATAATGCTGTTTTTTCTATTCTGAGACTGTGTAATTTATGTTATTTTTATATTTACTAGGATTCTGTAAATGTCATAAAAAACAGAATTTTCATTGTAAGAGAAAAATAGATAAAAATGTAAAACAAAATAGGTAAAAACCCTATAATTCTAAATTTGAACTGGAAATAGCAGTGTGAACTCCTGATATAATTTCTTTTAAAAAGGTACAGATACAGTGATTAACCTTTACGACCAGATTGTGTATTCTAAATACCATTGAAGAGAATCAGGGCTTCTTGGAGAAATGGCTGATTAAAAGGTATAGGGGAGGAACATATTGTCATAGAAAGCAAGGAAAATATTCAAAGAATAATGGGGACAAGTCAAAGGACTCATTGAGTAACATGAATGCGCTCCCACTAATCAGAGATAGGACAATTTGAGTATCAAAAGAAAAGTAAATGCAATGGATTAAAACCCATCAACTGTGCTAAAACTTACAAGTTTAATAATGTGGGGGAAAAAGAAGCTCAGTTACAGAAAGAACAGTAAAAGTAGAAAACTGGTATCAAATTCAATTAAGGTAATATATAAAAATGGTTTGAAAATTTAAGGTTCTATTCAAATACACTTTGTAGCAGTGTTTAAAAGTATAAAATTATAAAAGAAATGGTTAAGGTTAAAATCTCATATGTCCTCAGTTTTAATTTTTTTAATTTAAATTTGCATCTGTTCTTTTTTCACTATATTACCTTTTTCTTATTCTTATAAGAATAAGAAAAGTTATAGTTATTAGACTATTCTATTTGACTTTGTTATATGTAATATTTATCTTAAAATTGGTTGATAATTTTACTAAAAAATTTTAAAACAAAGTCAAATGTTAATTATATAGAGCAGAAATCAGCAAACTATTTCTGTAACAGACCAGATAGTAAAAATTTTAGGCTTTACTGGCCACACTGTCTCTGTCACAAATACAGGAAAACAGCCAGAGAGAGTTTGTAAATGGGTACAGTTGTTGGCTGTGTTCCAATAATATTTTATTTACAAAGATAGGCAGCAGACGTTGAGTAAAAAGTATTAGGTGTATTAGGGTTTTGTTTGTTTGTTTGTTTTAACCTTTTATATCTTCCTTTCTAGGTATAAGGGACCACTGTTAGAAGAGCAAGCCCTTATAAAGGCAGCAGAGAGTGGACTATCTTCACCTGAATTTTCAGAGCTCTGTGTTTGGTTAGGCTCTCAAATAAAATCATTGTGCAACTTGGAAGAAAGTATCACTTCAGCTGGTATTGCCATTATTTACTTTTCTGTTTACTAGTAAAATGAAATGATAGGTTATGATTTACAGTTTTATCTATAATGTGCTCACTGTACAAAGAAAAGTCATTACTACAAACAACTTCAATATGTGATTTAAATATCTTTGGATTAAATTTTATATTGATTAGTCCAAAATTGGTTCTTAAATTTATATAAAATTATAAATAATTATTGTTTATCTGCTGTCTTGAACTTAGTATTGTTCTTTAGAAAAAGAAGAGTCTGAATTTGGTTATTTAAAAAGTTTAAGTTTTGAATACTGCTTATTTTGAATTAAGGTGTTTCTTTTCCCTAAAGTATGCATATATTTAATCCCTAATTTAAGTTGTATTACCAAACCTATAACTCAGGACATGGATTCACATAGGAATACGTTTATAAAAAACTTCTGTACTAGCTCACAAGGTTTATTTAATTCACTACTGTATTGGTAGCTGGAGTTCTTGTGGGTCTTTGATTGGTAGAATTTCAGACGTGTAATAAAATGAAAAATAAAATTTGTGGGGGCATTTGCTAGGAGACCAGTAGCCTTCCCTTCTGATGCTGTCCTTACTTTTAAATTGTTTTTTTCCTTGCCGAATCTAATAGAATTCACTTGAAGCTAAGTAAAATAAGCTGAATTCAGAACTTATGACACAAGTTCCCACATAATTAGATGATGAAAGAAAGATAAGCGCTGAGGCTTAATTTGATGATAGCATTTATTATCTAAATCCATAGAAATACAATAGAAATGGATCATTTGCTCTGAAGCCAGTTAATAATTATAGCCATAATAATGCTTTTAATATTTCAGTTACTAACATAAAATATTTCCATTTTATCTGCTTTTATGGAAAGCCCATTGGAAGATATCAGAGATTTAAATATAAAAATATTTATAATTTCATGATTAGATACTTATGTTCTTGAATTTAAGTGTTGCTTTCCATATGTAGAAATATGTTTTGGTTACTTTGACCTAAGCTTTTGGGGTCACACATTTAAGGATTTAATGTCAAAGTGAAAATTTGGAATTGAATATAAAATTAAAATCAACTAGTGGTAGATTTGATAGTATCAGATTACATGGTAAATATTTAGTAAATGTTTTATACCTTTTCTTGTTTAAAGGGAAAGATGATCTAGAAAGCTTCCAGCTTGAGATAAGTGGCTTTTTAAAAGAAATGGCATGTCCATATTCTGTACTCGTATCAGGAGATATTAAAGACCGTTTAAAAAAGAAGGATGACTGTTTGAAACTTCTATGTAAGTTATGTTTCTTTGAACAATTTAAATGCATGTGTTTAATCTGGTTTGTGTTATTTTCAAGTCAAGATTTATGAACTTTAATGAATCATTAGATATTTTGTGTATTAGAAAGTTTTTAATATTTGGCTTAAAATATGAAACTAAGAGATTTTTATATAAATGTATAAATTCTACTGATGTACTCTTTAAGATTTCTAACACTTATGATTTATTTGGCCAATATAGAATGCCCAGTGTTTGTGACTTGTATGGTACTTCAGTAATTTTTCCTTCACCTAATTCGTCTCTTTACATTTATGACTAATTGGCTAAAGTGGTGATCTCCAAACTGCTATTTAATCTTAAAACTCTCTGAAACTAGGCTGCTAAGCAGATTATTAGATGATAGGCACTGAATGATGGTTCAAAAATATTCATTGATCCCTTTCTACTGTACCAGAAACTGCTCTAAGCATTAGGGATGTATCAGTTTAAAAAAAAAATTGTGCCCTTGTGCCACTTGAATTTTAGTGAGTGTGGCCTATTTTCATCAGGGGTGAATTTGGAGTACAGATTACCTATATCTAAACAATTACTATGAATAACATCCATTTATTTATATTGGCTCCCTTAAAATTTTTTTAAATTCAGTTTAATTTCATGCTATTTTGGAAGTTCTACAAGCGGTGACTATTTGAAAGAATTTTTCTAACATCTTCTATTATTGAAGATTTCTATTATTTTAGGTTGTACCATTTATAAGAAGATGCATGTGATATATTCCTCTATGTTCTAGTGTTAAAATGTTAGTTTCATTAGAGCAGAAATCATGTTTATGTGTTTAACTACTGGTGGTGTTGGAAGTGTTGACATTTGAATTATCTTGTTTGTTTTGGGGAGGATAAAAATTATGTGCCCTTCCCCCATTTCTTACACTATTTCCTTGTCTTCCTCCCATTCAGTGTAAGTCACTGATTTAATGAACCATTGTTACTAATGGGAGGTCACAGTAACCCTTAGGTGTATTGGGACACAAAGGAAGGTAAGAAGCACTGGTCATGAGGAACTTGCATATAGATATAGGTAATCCTTAGATTACCTTACCCTTACCTTAGATATAGGTAATCTGTAATTCTTTATGTTAGTCAGTGAGAACTGTGTAAATCATCATGTTTCCCTTTTTGCCTTTGCTTCTAAGAAGCTCAGCAATAACAGTAATATAAGTTTCTGGTCCAAGTAAAAGTAAAGAGGAGATATAAGAGAGGTTGGTATAGTTTTTTCTGATTATAAACATACATGCTCAGGAGGTGGGGTGAAATGGGGAATTGTTAAATGAGTACAAAGTTTCAGTTGAGGAAGATGAAAATGTTCTGGAGATGGATGGATGGTGGTGATGGTTATACAACCGTGTGAATGCGCTTAATGCCACTGTACACTTAAAAAGTTAGAATGGTAAATTTTATGTTACATGTTGAAAAAATACATGCTCATCATAGAAATCTTACAAAGTAGATAAATATGAAAAGAAGAAAATAATTTATAATTTCACTCCCCAGAGAGGATCATGAATAACTTTTCAGTGTATTTCCTTTTCCTTCTCTTTTTCCTTTGTACACACATATTTAAATAAGATTTAGATCTGTTACAGATGTAGTTCCTGCTCTTCCTCTTCTTCATTTAATGTATTGTGAGCATTTTCCCATCACTTAGTATTTTTTGAAAAAATAATTTAAATTGGCTACATAACATTCTATGTTATGGGCATTTTTACTTAACAGATTTCAAATTTGGGGGTATTTGGATTTTTCTAATTTATCTATCTATCTATTTATGGCTATGTTGGGTCTTTGTTACGTGCAGGCTTTCTGTAGTTGCGGTGAGCGGGGGCTACTCTTCGTTGTGGTGCGTGGGCTTCTTATTGTGGTGGCTTCTGTTGTTGCAGAGCATGGGCTCTAGGCGTGTGGGCTCAGTAGTTGTGGCTTGCGGGCTCTAGAGCACAGGCTCAGTAGTTGTGGCGCACAGCCTTAGTTGCTCCGCCGCATGTCAAATCTTCCTGGACCAGGGCTTGAACCCGTGTCCCCTGCGTTGGCAGGCAGATTCTTAACCACTGCGCCACCAGGGAAGTCCCAATTTTTCTATTTTAAATTAATTTTTTTGTTCATATTTTTGGTTACTTAGACAAAGATCATGAACATTTAAAAAAATTCTCTGGTCTAGATATATTGCCATAATTTGCTCCAGAAAGGTTATACCAATTCACAATCTTACCAGCATCTATTTCATCTTTATCTTTAGTTTGACTACCTTTAAAACATACTGATATAATAAGCTTCTTCATGTTATTTTAGAATTGTTTGCAACGTGTGTAAAATGAAAAGGGCCACATTCCTTACTATGTGGAGAGCTTTTATAGAGATAAAAACTCACTGGACTACTGAGCCTGCGCGTCTGGAGCCCGTGCTCCGCAACAAGAGAGGCCGCGGCAGTGAGAGGCCTGCGCACCGCGATGAAGAGTGGCCCCCGCTTGCCACACTAGAGAAAGCCCTTGCACAGAAACGGAGACCCAACACAGCCAAAAAAATAAATATAAATAAAAAAACTCACTGGAAAAATATGTAAAGTACATAAGGCATGAACAGGCATTCTACAGAAAAAAGTTTTAAAAAAATTGCTTCTAAACATGAAAAGATACACAGTTATACCCCAGAGTTAAAGAGTTACAAAAAAAAAAAAAAAAAGGATACCATTTTTCACTTACCAGACTAGCAAATACCAGAAAAAAAAAAAAGTCATAATACAAGTTTGGGGGGAGTAAGCCTTCTCATATACTACAGGCGTTGGAGTGTGGTGGGAGAGTAATTGGTACAATCTTTTGCAAAGGCAGATTTTCAGTAACACAATTAAAATTCACCTGTCTTTTGACTTGGCAGTTCAATGACTAGGAGTTCATACTAACTGTACAAAGATATATGAAAAGAATGTTCATTATGGCATTGTTTGTAGTAGTTAAATAGAAATGGTACATCTTTGCAGTGATACCATTCTATAGCCATTAGAATGAGAGTAGATAAAATGTGTAAATATGGAATGATCTCTAAGATATATTGGTAAATAAAAAATATACAGAACATGTATGCTCTTGTTTCTATAAAAGAAATAAAAGTGCATAGGTGGTAGAGACATATACTAAATATATACATACACACACACATGCGCGTGCCTAAAAATATGCCCAAGAAACTAACACTGGTGATTGCCTCTGGGGAGGGGGAATCTGAGGATCTGTGGTGGGAAGAAGACTTTTCACTGTATTATTTCCCATCTGTGAGGATTAGCATTTTAAATACTAGACTGAACTCTTGTTTGTACTGTTATATACAGCATGTTTCCATAGAACAAAGACAGGCTTCAGCCATGATTCTGCACAAAATATAAATATATTTTTGAAGAACTGGTAATCTGCTTAATGAAGTTAAAAAATCAGAGGGACCTTGGCATAGTCCTCATGTGCAAAGTTTGATACATGTTGGTCTTAACTTTTTGTGGGTTCTTTAGACTATCGTGTATAGATTACATGAAAAAAATCTTAAATTAGTGGCTCTCGATCCTGCCTGCCCGTGCGAGTCACCTTGGGTCTAAAACCACACAGATTCCCAGATCCTACTTCAGACCTACTGGTTCAGAATCTCTGAGGGTGGGACCCTGGTACTTGTACTTTTAAACAATTTCTCAGATATTTTTTCTGCTCAGCTGAAGTTGAAACTGTTGTATTAAATTGTGTGTGTGTATAACTTTAAATAAACAAAAACAAACCCTAATATCTTTACTGTTGTAAAAGTTAATTTTAAAAAAGACTGTAATGATTTAAGATAATTTTTTGCTTTCCAAAATGATATTTTTTAGGTTTTTTTTAATTGAAATAGAGTTCACATAAAATATTGTTAGTTTCAGGTGTACCACATAGTGATTTGACATCTGCATACATTATGAAATGGTCACCATGGTAAATCTAGTAACCATCTGTCCCCATACGAGGTTATTACAGTATTATTGACTGTATTTTATATTGTGTGTTACACCCCCATGGCTGATTCCTTTTCTTTCTGGAGGTTTGTACCTCTTAAGCCCCTTCACCTATTCTACCCCACCCCCACACCCCTTCTCTCTGGCAACTACCTATTCGTTCTCTGTGTATATGAGTCTGTTTCCATTTTGTGTTGTTTGTTTTGTTTTTTCCATCTAAGATTTTTGAATGATTTTTAAAAATATGGCTGTTGAAAGGATGAAATAAAATGTGACAGTGAAAGGGACTTGTGAACAGCCTGGGGTGGTCTGTCTTAAAGGCAGTTTTTCAAATTGCTCAATCTGCTTAATAGATCAGTTAAAGCTATACATTCTCCCCTGGCTTGAGCTGTGCATATCAGAGAGAGAATATTTTATCAGTCTTACACATTCTTAAGCATTTTAAAATTGTTGAAGTACAGGTGGGTCTCTCCTACTAGGCTTTAAACTCTTTGCAAGTAGGCACTATTTAAAAAAAAAATTTCCTTCTGCCCTCTTTATTATTATTTCTTTTTGTGATAAGAATACTTAATGTAAGATTTACTGTCTTAGCAAATTTTTAAGTGTACAATATAGTATTGTTAACTATAGGCACTATGCTGTAAAGTAGATCTCTAGGACTTATTCATCTTATATAACCAGTATGTATCAAACTTTGCTTATGAGGACTATGCCAAGGTCCCTCTGATTTTTTAACGTATTTATTTTTTTTTGGCTGCGTTGGGTCTTAGTTACGGCGCGCGGGCTTTCTCTAGTTGTGGCGAGTGGGGACTCCTCTTCGTTGTGTTGCACGGGCTTCTCATTGCGGTGGGTTCTCTTGTTGTGGAGGAGAGACTCTAGGCGCATGGGCTTCGGTAGTTGTGGCTCGTGGGCTCTAGAGTGCAGGCTCAGTAGTTGTGGCACACGGGCTTAGTTGCTCCGCGGCATGTGGGATCTTCCCAGACCAGGGATTGAACCTGTGTCCCCTGCATTGGCAGGCAGATTCTTAACCACTGCGCCACCAGGGAAGTCCCGGTCCCTCTGATTATAAAACTTCAATAAAACAGATCACCAGTTCTTCAGAAATTTATATTTAACGAATATAAAATTTATATTTAACTAAACTCCTTGTTTCCTGCTTCCCCGGCCTGGCAATCACCATTCTACTTTCTACTTTAGGAGTTTGACTGTTTTAGATTCCTCATAAAAGTGATATCATTAGTATTTGTCTTTCTGCGTCTGGCTTATTTCTCTTTGCACAGTGTCCTCCAGGTTCATCCATGTTGTCACAAATGGCTGGATTTTCTTCTTTTTTAAAGCTGGATAATAATTCCATTGTATACATATACCACATTTTCTTTATCCATTCATCTGTTGAAGGACACCTAGGTTGTTTCCAAATCTAGGCTGTTATGAACAGTACAGTAGTGAATATGGTAGTGAAGATCTCTTTGAGATCCTGATTTTCCCTTTGCATGTATACCCAGAAGTGGGATCTTTAAAGCATTCTTGTGCATTTTAACATTATTTGTTTTTCCCTTTTCTTATTATAGTATTTTTAAGTACAGAGCTTCAAGCTTTACAGATATTACAGAACAAGAAACGTAAAGATTCTCAATTAGATAAAAATAGTGAAATTTATCAGGAAGTTCAAGCTATCTGCGATACCCTTGGTATTCCCAAGTCAACAACTTCTGACATTCCACTTATGCTGAACCAAGTGGAATCAAAGGTATTGTATTTGTTTTATTTTTCATTTCCCCCAAATTCAGTTAAATGCTGATATGTAAATGTTGAATTAAAAATGAAAATACAGTTGATCCTTGAACAATGTGGGACTTAGGGGTGCTGACCCTCTGCAGAGTCGATAATTAACATACAACTTCACTGTTGTCCCTCTGTATCTGCAGTTCGCATTTGTAAATTCAACCACCTGTGGATCAGATAGTACTGTAATTTTATTTAGTGAAAAAAATTCACATATAAGTGGACCAGCACAGTTCAAACCCATGTTGTTCAAGGGTCAACTGTATTTCCTTTAAGTACAAGATATACATTCTATTTAAAGAAACATTTATCTTCGTGTAAACTAAATTTTGGATTTGGAGTTAATATGCATGTGACCTAATTTGACTATAAGTAATATTCAGGAATCAGATCTTAATGAGTGAGTGCTAGGCTTTGTGAAGGTTTGCCCTGATAGAAATCCTTTTGCAAATATAAGGGTCCCTTTTCTAAACAAGGTTGTATTACGGTATAATGAAAGAAGTATAGTTATCCTATGAAGTCAAAGGCAAACTAAATTTCTTTTTAATGGATGTTGTTAATAGAATTGCAGTGTGGTTGTCTTTGGCAGTGAGCAAAGAAATGCACAGTTCCTGGTGGATAAGTGTTTAGTAAATGTTTGTTGTATAGTGAATAAATGAATGAGTACCCTGATGGAGTAGTTAAAAACAACTAAAACCTGTGTACTTCTAGCTTTTTTTTTTTTTTTCAGTTATTAAACTATCCTTGTTCCCAGTCAAGCCATCAATTAGAGAGAATGATACTCTCACAGACCAAATTCTGGCTTAATTCCTAGGTTTTGTAGGATTCCTCTAGGGGAATAATACAAGATTCATTTTTAAGGAAAAGAAAATTCTCACCCTCAAGAATAGGTACTAAAACTCTGTTTTTAGACATGCTGTTTTAAACTAAATTCTTGAATAAAGTACTCTTTGCATTGATAATTTATGAACTGAAAAATAAAAAGGTTTGTCTTACTGAATGTCAGAGAATTTTAGTATCATTAAGATGAAAACACAGTATAAAAACTTTTTTTTTTTCCCCTAGAACTTGTAAACCAAAGAATAAGCCTATGAATCCCAGCTCAGAAACACTGGTGTAGAGTTAATAAATTGTTCTTCAGAATTTGTTTCTCTGGATTAAGAATGATCTGGGGTTGGCTAAAATATCTGGGGCTATTTCAAATTGAGACAGATTTCTAGACTCTTCCTAATCTCCCAGTGCTTACACATATTGATCCCAGAGAGGTTTTTTCCTTTTATGAGTTTCAGTTAGAATTTAAAAATACCCCCAAACCTCTTTTCCCTGCTTAAAGCAGGCTGTAATGCCTGTGTTCAAGTGCTGGCAGGCTAATTATAAGGTAGTAGTTACTATGGCCATCATGGCTAAATATTTACCTATAATGACTTACTTCTCCATTCAGTTCCTATCAAAAGCAAAAATTTCCATATTTTCTTCTATGTACGATGTGTCCAGAAGACACTTCGTCATCATTGGGGAGGAAATTTATCATTATCTTTTAGCTCAAATCTGTTCAAATGTAAATCTAAAGTAATTACAGTAATATTAACAGCACACATACAGCATTTACTGTGCTAAATGTTTATATGTAATAACTCATTGCATTCTTACATCACCTATAATGAAGTAGTAATATTATTATTTACAGCAGCCATTTGAGAAAATTGAGGCACTGAAAGATTTAATAAATTAGACAAGCAAGTTTCTAAGTAGTAGTAGTGGTAGACTGGAGTTTCAAACCCAGGTGGTCAACCTCAGAGTCTGCTCTTAACTCCCTTTATCACAGGTAATTCTCAAAGTTATTAAAACTGTTATCTAATGTTGAAATACAGGGAATGTGATTATATGTGAGAAACTTAAGCATGCATTCAGAGTCCCTCTTGAGTAAGGGGTTATGACTAAAACTTTTAGTAGTATATGAAATATCAAAATCGAAGGTATTTGCAATAGTGAGGAATCTACAGAAATGGTATGTTTTAAGAAAATAATAATTCTTTTCAATGTGTAAGAGTAGTGTCAGTAATCACTGTTGTAGTGGTAGATTTACTGTGATGTAAAGCTTAAGCTTTGGGACCCCCTAATTTGCACAAATTCTTTCTAAGCTCATTTTTCAAAAATAGCTTTCTCAAGATATAATTTAAGTGCTATAAAATTCGCCCATTTAAAGTGTACAATTCAATGAATTTTAGTATATTTACAGAGTACAACATCATCGAAATCTAATTTTAGAACATTTCCATCATTCTCAGAAGAAACCATGTGCCCATTTACAGTCACTTCCCATTACCACCACCAGTTTCCAAGCTAATTTTGTGTTCATAATTTTTAATTCTTTTTAAAAGAGGTCCCCCAACATTAAATAAGGTTCATACTCCTCAAAATGTGAACTCTTCCTGATTATTTTCTCTAGTTACTTTATAACTAAGCAACTGTAAATATTTCATGACCTCTGATATTGCTGAAGCAAAAGCGAATGTCTAAATCTTGTTCACCAAAATAAAAATGTTTCAAGTAATTCAAATCAGTGGCTTTGCAAAAGTAATGAAATGTGTATGTGGCGACTAATTGAGAGGGCTTGCTCTCCTTTGTTGTCTTGCTGAACAATGGAATGTGTACAGAATATTTAATGGAGTAAAACCAACATACTCAGCAAAGGTTTTAGTAATTTGTCAGCATGTAAGAGCGTGCCATCTTAAGAAGAAACTCTGAATTTATTTCACATATAAATTATAGATTCTCTTAATAAAACCTTTTAGTAGCTACTTCTTTAGTTGTCCATGTACATTATTTCTTCCTCTGGAAAAGGTGTGCTATAGCTTGAATTAATGTAACTAATGCTTCTTTGAGAAAGATACTCTGCATTGTAGTGATATTCTTTCCTATTATGTGAAGGTATATTTTAACTATTTCTCTTTAACATTTTATTAATTCTCTAGCATTCAAAGCGTTTTAAGCAAGAATAAGATCGTTTTAAATTAGGGATATACATTTTCACAATCTTTTATGTTTAATTTTAGGTGAAAGATATTCTCTCACAAGTCCAGAAAAATCACGTGGGAAAACCACTGCTGAAAATTGATTTAAATCTGGAACAGGTGGTAAGTCATCCCCCCACGTTTTTATTAGCTTTATGTAATTAAAGTAGTGAATATGACTTAATTTTATAGATGGACATCTAGATTTTACAGTGTGTAGCATGCATTTTTTATATTGGAGAATTAAAATGGAATGATATTCTAGAACAGTAGGTCCTAACATTTCTTCACTCAGATTATTAATTAAAAAAAAAAAAACCTGGCCAAAAGTATTTATAGTGCCTAATATGTTAGCATAGTTGTAATTTGAAAAGTGTAGTAGCTCAGCGCCAACAAGATGGGAAGTTGTTGGTATTTTCTTTCCTTATAGGTTCAGACTACTTTGCAAGTAGACGTTTTACTTAAATTAACATGTTTGATTGAAGATCAGGTAAACTGTACCAATTGTAGAGTTTAATTTGTATGTTTAGTATCTTCCGAATATTTTATATGTTCTATCAAATATCTTTATTTAAATAATTTACTGTAAAGTCTCATGGGATCAGAAAATGACCATCAAGTACCACCTTTTGAATTAATAGGAAGTATTGACCACAATTCTGAAATTTCTTTTCTGTGCATAATGAGTCTAAAGGTTATGGTTTTTGTTTCCAAATTCTTTAGGAACAACTGGAAAGAATCAACGATGCCCTTTCCTGTGAATATGAGTGCCGTCGGCGGATGTTGATGAAACGATTAGATGTAACAGTGCAGTCCTTTGGATGGTCTGATAGAGCAAAGGTAAGGCTGTTTTTCCATTTGTGTCCTGTAGGTGGTACTCTGTGACAGCTCTTCAGGCTCTCTTGTCTGTTAGGTAACGATGCCACATTTGCACTTTATCACTCTGTCTGAAGCTCCTGCCCAGGCCAACTGTTGGTCTTAAATAATGATCCTGGTCTTGTATAAGTCCCTGTTTGCAAATATCTTAATTTCTCCCCATATCTTTCACATTTATTTAAAACTCATAGATGTTGTGATTTATGCAAGGATATACATAAAAGAAGGCATCATATGTGATAGATAAATATAGTGAGCAACTGGTCAAGAAAGAAGGATTTACTGCTAAACACCCTACAGTACACAGGATAGCCCTTCACAACAAGATCTGTCTGGTCCAAAAGATCAAAAGTAGCGGTTGACAAAATCTGTTTCTGATGATATGAGATCAGATTTTTCTTTATACATAATATATTGTTATTTTCATTCAACAAATAGTTGAATGCCTACCCTATTTCATGTACACATTAAAGGACATTTATTAAAACATATATTTGAACAGCAAGTGCAATGTGGCACACTGTACACAAAAAGAGGCGACTCTTCTGTAAGCATCATGCCTGTCTGCTTATTGTGCTTACTGTCACTTTGTTTATTTAACTAATGTGAGGTTCATTATTCCTTTTCAGCTTTGCAGTCTGGTTAAAGTAACACATCACTCCTCAATGTTATCCTGTCTAAATCTCTGATAAATAGCGCCTGTCTGCAGAAAGCACCTGCTCAGAAGCAGTGTTAGACTCGCTGTTACTGTTAAGCTTGTGAGAGGTCACCCAGGCTGAGAGGAAAGAAATGAACAGACAAGCTGCTACTGTGTTCTGAAATGATGGGACTGAGGCCACGTATTCTCTGGTTTCTCTCCTCATGGTCTTTGCAGTCTTTCCAGTATAGTATGTCTCTCTTCCTATTCCACAGAGGGATTAAAACCCTTTTTTCCCATTTGATGTATGTCTAAATCCTTTTATTGGACTGTCGAAAAAGTAAAATACTGATTTTTTCTTCAGAAAAAAAAAAAGAAAGAAAGAAGGATTTAGGAATGAATCAGGTAGCACTGATGCCTGAACAAACCTTAAAGGTGGCTTAAGGCTGTGGAGTGTGTTCCAGTTGAAGAGGGCGTTGGAGGGTGGGGGCATTCCCAAATATGGATCTCTTCAGGTAGTTTTCTAGAGAGCTGTCACCCATCATTCCCATTTTATGCCTGTAATCTGTACCCAGGCGGCGTCTGGGATCCTCCACTCCAGACTGTAAGCTGGGACAATTATAGGAAAATATTTGCTTCCCCTGTTTGAGGGATCATTGTGTCCTGTGCTCCTTGATGTCCAGTGTCTGAAAATCACTGGTTCACGTGGGTTGTCCAGTTTTATAGTTGTTTCAGGTAGGAGGGTAAATCTGTGCCTGTTACTCTCAGATATTATTATTACATTCTTTGGATTAACTGGGTAGTTGTCCTGCCCCCATATTGTATCAACTGGGGTCATTTATGCAGCTTCATTCAACTGATACCTGGGCTGGGTTGGGCTGGAACATCCAAGACGGTTGCCTCACATGTCTAGGTTTTGCTAACTGTTTCTTGGGGTGCTTCACTTGTCATCTTGGCCCTTAGGCGGTCTCTCTCTCCATGTGGTGCCCCACATTGGTTTCCTATGGCTGCTGTAATAAATTACCACAAACTTCGTGGTTTAAATAATACACATTTATTTTCTTACAGATCTAGAGATCAGAAGTCCTAAAATGAAGGTATTGGCAGGGTTGCATTCCTCCTGGACACTTCAGGGGAGAATCTGTTTCCTTGCATTTACTAGCTTCCAGATACCACCTGTGTACCTCGAGTCATGACCTCATCCTCCATCTTCAAAATCAGTAGTGTAGGATCTTCCATTCTTTCTCCTTCTGCTTCCATTGTCACACGCCTTCTGCTGTCTCTCTCTTATCAGGAGCCTTGTGATTACACTGGGCTTACCCAGATTATCCATCTCAAGATTCCTAACTTAACTCACATCTGTATCTTCAAGGTGACATATTCACAGGTTTCAGGGATTAGGATGTGGAGATCTCGGGGGAGCCATTCTGTTTACCAGGTGTCTTCTAATTGGAGTTTATTTTTTTCCTGCATTGTATTTCGTTATCATATGCGGCTGCTGCTTTTTCCTTTTCTTTTTCTCTTTTTTAAATATACTTTTAAAAATCAAGTATTCTAATGAGTCCTCTTTTCTATACTTTCCCTCCTAAAAGCTTGTATCCTTCTACTGCAGTTTGGGCTGTTTGCGTGCCTATCCTTGGCTACTCCACTATTTCCTGGATTCCATGGCCTTCTCTTTCATTGTTTATTCCCTCAATCTGCCGTAGTAAATCCACAAATAACTTCCTAACAAAGGGTGCATAGGAGTGATTTTTCTGAACCCTTGAATTCTGAAAATGTTTATTCTCCTGCCACATTTGATTGATAGTTTAGGTAAATATAAAGTTCTAGGTGGAAAACATTTTTCTCTAAGAATATTGAAGGCAAAAAAAAAAAGAATATTGAAGGCATTGCTTCATTGTTTTCTAGCATATAGTGCTGCTGTTGAGAAACCCAGTGCCATTGCCTGTCCTTTTGAATGACCTTTTATTTTTCACTGGGAGCTTTTGGACCCTCTGCTTTTTTTTTTTTTTTTTGAGAATTACATTTTATTTGACAGACTTGCTGAGGACTTAAGCCTGGAAGACAGCCTCTCAGATGACTCTGAGGGACTGCCCTGAAGAGGTAAGGGAGGAACCAGGATATATAGGAGTTTTTGCAAGGAACCAGGTAGTAGGAACATCAAAAGATCATTGTTAAAAAAAAGAAAAAAAGATCATTGTTAATTAAAGAAAAACAGGGACTTCCCTGGTGGTTGGGCTCTCTTCTTTATCCTTGGAGTTCTGAAATTTCACAGCATATGTCAGTCTGGGTCTTCCTGAATTCATTGTGCTAAACATTAGGTGGGCATTTCAATCTGTAGACTCTTAGCTTTTATATTTCTCTTTATTAATTTCTTCCCTTTTGTTTTCTCTTTCTGAAACTCTTGTTATTCAGATATTAGACCCCCTGGATAGATCCACTTGAGTTGCTTTATTTTTTTTCTCATTTTCTGTCTCTTCCTTTTTGATTGACTTTCTTGGAAATGTCCTCAATTTTATTTTGTGCTTGGCACTAAATTTTTGTTTCAGCCATCATTTTTTCATTTCCAGGAATTCTTTTTGCTTCTTGTGTTTTCCTTTTTCATGTTTTTTTTTTCTTGTTTTATGAACGTGCTATCTTCTTCAATGGGGATGAAAAATTTTTTTTTTTAAAGTTTTTTTTTTTCCCCCTTTATTTCTGTCTCTCCCAGGGCAATTTTTGGTTTGTTTTTTTTGGTCTCTCTCTCGTCGTGGCTTTCTTCAAATCATGATGGTCCTTTGTTGTCCATATTTAAGAGAAGACACTGAAAAACTGATTGGGAACTGTAGTCGTTGACCAGGATTGTTGATGTCAGACTTTGGAGCTGCCTCCTGTGCTGTGGAAATTCCTGATGCTCGTTTGGAGAAGTCTTTTCTCTGTAGCTGCTCAGTGTTTCAAGAAGGGAAGCCTCATTTTTTTTTCTATACATTATTCTCCTTTGGCCAGAGGAGGAGGAGGAGTGGCAACATGGCACCAGGGGTTGGAAGAATAGACTATTCCACAAATAGACAGTTAACCCCTATTTTTGGCTCCCAGTTGCATTTTCTGAGATGTTGGTTCCCTTCTTACCTGTATCCCCTTTTTCCATTCTGTTTATTGTAGTATATGTGTATTTTTTGAAAAAAATAGTGTGTTTGAGAAAATACCTTTAGGAAATATCTTGATATCTTCTCATCTTGGTCTTTTTTCATCATGTTTTAGGACAAGGAGGTTGTGTTTTTGTTGTTTTTCCCTTAGTCCGGAAGATTTTTTAAATATCTTTTTTCTCAGAGTATAGGTCAAATTTTGGCCTTTCATGCCATCCTTTTCAATTGATTATATGAGTATATACATTTATACCCTGAGTTTTCTTTTCTTGTTAAATTTAATATATCTTTATCTTATTCTCCCTATTTCATATGTCTGATGTTGAATGACTCATCAAATATTGTTCTACAGCATTTAAAATCTTTTGCATACAGATATACTCTATTGATTGACATTGAGTTTTCCTTTAATTTTGTCTCCTTTGACCCTGTAATGAAATTTTTGGCGCTAAATTTTTGTTCATGTCCATGATATATTCCTAAAAGTGGAATTCCTTGATCAAAGAATATGCATTATAATGCTTTTGATGCACACTCTAGAGTTGCCCTTCAAAAAGATTATACATGTTTATTAGTATGGTTAATCTGATTTCTCTGTTACTTTGCTGGTATTGAAATAGGACTGAGTATACTTCTATAGTTTGCTTTTTTTTTTTTTTTTTACTGAATATATTGTGATCATTGTCCCATATCTCTAAAAGTTCTATTTTGGTGTCCTTTTAAAATTAATTTTTAATTTATTTCTTATTTTTTGAGTTATAATTCACCATCTTAAAGTGTACAGTTCAGTGGTTTTTAGTATATTCACTGTATTCTGTGCCATTATCTAATTCCACAACGTTTCCCTCACCGCCAAAAGAAACATGCACCTATTAGTGGTCATTTGCTGTACCTTCAACTTCCTTTTCTGACACTCACTACTATAACCTACTTTCTGTCTCTTTGGATTTGCCTGTTCTGGATATTTCATATATATAAGGAGTCATACAATATGTGGCTTTTTATGTCTGGCTTCTTAGCATAATGCTTTCAAGGTTCATCCATGTTGTCCCATGTAACTGCACAATCAGCCCTCCATGTCTGCAGATGTGAAACCCATGGATTCCTAGGGATTCCTAAATGGAAATTTACTGTGTGAAAGGTTATGACTCTTAATGCTCTTGATTCACATCACCAAATTGTTTTTTACAAAGTTTGTATGA